CATATGCCAATGCTGCAATCTTAAGCATCCTCGAAACTCTGCATGCATGCTGGAATCATTTGTGCACATATGATCGACCTTACAGCTTGCACAGCACCTATAGCGACGGTATCGTACATGGGGGCTGTCCCATGCAACTCAATCCCTAGGTTTCTGCGAGTGCCGCCATCATTTGCAACTGCCACCACTGGCATCACGTAAGGATTTTCATGCGGTTAGTGCAGTACCGTACTATAAGTCCAACGACTCTGTGCAGCTTGACAGCCTATGTTCACGCTAGCTACAGGCAAGCGAGTTTGCACCCACTAGGCACGCAGTCGTATGAAGCTAGAAACAAGCTTTCAATGACTCACACATGCTCATCATATAGTCGGTTCATGATTAGAGCACGTCCTGTGATGCATGTCGCAGGCACGAATCATCCCGTCGATAAGCACAGAGCCTCAAGAATGTGAAAGCCATTGGTATTGACTCTGCGCATATGGCATTGCATTCAGGTGCTTCTGGCTAGCGTAATTGCACTTCCTAACAGGATCGGAGACATACAAGAAATAGCATCAAGGACTACTAGTGCAAACACTGCTCAAGAAGCTTCACAAGGCTAAACGAGACAAGCAGAAACAGAGGCGGCACATCGATAGTTGCAGATTCACAATTACCCGGTAACGACACCAGAAGATCGAACTCTTGACGATCTTTTCTTAGCGATTGAGAAAAGGAGCAAATCCAAAAGAAGTGGGACGTCAGGAAAGTATGACAATCTTTTCTTGAGAAAAGGAAGCAGATTCAAAGGAACTGGGGCGTCAGGAAAGCATGAGAGCAAGTGGAAAGGTAGATCATGACACGCTTGTGCGCCGTGTTTGAAGCAGTGAGGGACCGAACACATTTGTAGTATCAGCGGGGGGCTTTTCGAGAATAACCAGCACAAATACCCCTTGCAAATTCCCTTGCAGTGGACCAGCTAACCCTAAGCGCTACTGACCAGCCGGCGCCAATGTATGCCAGACTTGGCCATCACGTGAAATCAAGAGCGCTTTTGAAGGCAGCCAGGATACCCCAAACAAAAAAGACTGGATCACTATCGATCCAACTCCTCACGTAGAGCTTCGAATGAATTCGTTTGCTTCACCGCGCCCCGCCTGCTGCTCATACACTACGGACTTGCTCAAAATCCTGCCAAGAACGGAGCCAACATCCAGGCCCTCAATCCAAAGTCTTGAGAGCCTGAGAAAGTGCTGAAACACATCGTAAAGCACCAGAGGTACACAGCACCAAATGTAAACCCCGAGATCATGCTCCGCACAATGAAGGCTTCTGCCGAAACTCTGAAGCAGAGTCTCTTGAGCCAACGGCGCATCGTACCACACGCAGGAAACAAGCGTTCACCGCCCAAGAAGCAAGCTGTGCCAAAAGCGAGTGATTCTCTGCACTTCTTGCCGCATTTTCTTGCATCTGGTAAACCAATGACGATAAGATTCACCGGGGGCAACATTTATTAGAAACTCACATTACGTGGTGGCTGAACTGGGTCCCCAAGCATCCATGCTGCCTGGGCATCCCTGCTGCTCTGCATAAGCGTTCTTCACAGTCCTCACCAAACACTTGCGCTCGCGGGAAGGGGTATTGGTGTGCGCGTTATATGACAAACTTAAGGTCTTTCAATGCGACTCCAAACCGTGACAGTCTCCTCCTAGGTTCAAATTACACAATTTGTACACTCGGCCTAACCCTACAAGGAAAGACCAGAGTCGTCATCGCCCTCCGGAAGGCCTTTGCTGAAGGTGTAGTACAGGGCCCAGACAACTCCGAAGGTACCGAACAGAAGCCAGCCCAAAGCTCCGTTGCTCAACCCAAGTGCCAGACCAGTGCCCTCTGTGCTCAGCCTCTCGTCGACCAGGGCGAGGGCTGGGTGAGCAGTGGCAAAGGAGATGGCCGCCGACGCAGCTGCTACCGGGGCAAACTTCTCATTGGCAGAGCAGACAACACCAGACTTGTGCGCTGCAGGCCAACAGACGTTCAGGGTTACAGCAATCCTTCTGCTACCATGACCTTCCTCAGGATATTTGCTGACCTCTTTTTGGTCAAGCAGCAAGCCACATTTGGTCAAGCTAGTTCGTAACTACACAATTTTTGCAGGTTTCTGGATGACTGAAGCAACCAGTGGCTGCAAGCGCAAACCTATTTTTGCAATGTGTGACACAAGTCACTACTGGTGCTTGAAACTCCTGAAAGACACACAACACTGGCTTGCAGAATGGCCAGCCTAAATTCAATGGCACTTTACTATGGGAATCCTTTGTTAGAAGACAGAGACTCCGTTGAGTTCGAGGAGCTTCAAGGACAAACCTGCTCTGGCGGGCACGTGGAAGGTCCTGTGAAGGGATGGCAGTCCTGTAGAAGAGGAATAACCTTTTGAGCATACCAGCATTGCATACTAGCAAGCCTTGACTAGACAGAAAAACCTGGAAATCTGGCAAAATAGTACACACATCCGCCGCGTAACACTTTCAGCTGGTTGTTTTTCCTTATTCCTTCTGTAGTTCCTGCAACTTCACTATGTCAAGCGGAGGGATTAGATTGGAGGCCTCCACTAACAACCTGAAGCATCCACATTCAAGCACTTAAAGGACTTCCACTATGTTCAAATCCAGCTCCAAGAATCCATTTTCCAACCCCAGCCTGAGATATCCAAGTATCAATATCCACTGGACACATTCTCCGCCAAGAGTTTCAGTCACGCACCATTAACTGTTTGGCAAGACGCCTTCTGTGATAGAGAAGTCCTGGCCACGAATGTGGCGCTGACAGAGGTGGAAGCGAGAGCGGCGGTGGCCATTGTGAGTGAGAGGAGCGAGAAGCAGCAGCAAGCAAGAAGGCGACGCGATTGCAAGCTTCTCCTCCCTCGTTTTCAGCACCTCCTTCTTCCTTGAAACTTGAAAGCCTTCTCGTCAAAGGAACAAACAGAATGCAAGACTGGGTAGTCAGTCAATACGGGCCCACCGTACCCAGAGATTGCGCATATCGTACGCCTCACATTTGTCCTGCAAAATCCCTCATCCGGAGATGGGCTTGGCCAATGGATTTGTGGAGCATCGGTGGAATTTGATTGGCTGTTGGAGGGGAGAATCCGGGGCTTTTCGGGGTACATTGACCGCTTTAGCGGCCGGCAGCGCGGCCGCGCTTTCACGGACCTGGGAGCGCGCGCGCAACGGTCCAGCATTGGACGGTTACAACTCTGGATATCCAATAGGTAGTACCGGTACAGGTTAAAGCTTAGCTCCACAAGAGAGCCATTTCCAGTCGCCCCGTATCCGTGACGCCCTTACGCCCTCAATCGAGTTGGTTCTGTCTGCTTCATGCAACGGCCGATTCTTGCATTCATGAACTTTTAGAGGTTGGAACATGTCAGAAGTGTCAAGTTGGAATTGATCGAAATGGCAGATCAAACGCCCAATTCGTCAATGATAACAAGATACTACCGGTAAGTCCTGACAGTTGCGCTGGTCGATACGACATGCAAAAGCACAGCAGTTTCGTTTCCGCATTGAATGCACTTATCCCACCAATATTGGTAGTTCGAGGAGCAACTTTGAAGGAAAACAGAACCATGGACGTGTTCACTATGGCTATGGCGCTGATCGTTGTCCGCGATCATTCGCCAACCTATTCATGCAGCAGAATGCTGATTTGAAAGGCCCGGGTCAGATGCTTGTAACTCAAACAATTTAACCGGCTGGCTCGGAACTTCTTTGCCTCTTAGTGATTCATGCGCTGATGGATACGGATGTAACAAGTCCAAAGCAAACGCTGATTTAACAGAAGACGTCTAACATCATCATGCGCTATGTATGACTTCGGCACACATCTCCTCACTCTCACATCCCTCGTCATCGGCGGAATGTGACAACATCGGAATGAATGGAATGGTGGGGAGAACTGTCGTAAATGAAGAAGTTTCAACAAGAGAGATTGATGCTCTGTCCCATCTACTTCTTCTTGGAGTCTCCAGCCACCTTGTTCTGCAGAGGCAATTGTGAAGGGTCAGGAAGCGAACCCAAGATGGTGAAGCAGATCGCAATCAGCTCCAACACAGCAGGGATCTTGATAATGCCTCATTCTCTGCTTGCTTTGTTTCAAGAGACACTCGCAGAGAAACCAGGCCTCCAGTCAGCCGTGTTCAATAGGACTTCCGGCCAATACGTTGATAATCGACTCTAAGTGATGCTCTAGGGCGCCACGACATGTACTCGAGGATGATACGGAGCATCAAAAACACCACTGGAACCGGATGCGTAACAAGCCAAAGCAAACCACCAGACCGAACACTCAAGTCTTTCAAAGAACACTTCAAGGAAAACTTCCAAACCCTGAAAGTACTACCTAATCCAATCAATTGTCGAGCCTACAAGCTGACTTGACCCTTTGATGTCACTTTTACTCCGTGCTCGCATCCTTTCCCTTTCGTTCGAGCAAAACAGAATCTGACCAAGATGATGGTAACTCGTGCTAATGAAAATCATTTGCGGGCAGCCTGAATCAGAGTACCACTATGCCTCATTTGCTGGTTCAATGACCAACAAATAGCTAAGGAAGTGTCAAATACCGGTAGCAACTATGACGTAAGAAACTCTACCTTCCACCCAACATCCAAAAGCACCAATCGACCTCATAACCAAAACTCTGATGCAGCTTGTCCCCATCCACCTGGTACAAAGATCGGGCAAACGCAAGCGCCTCTTACCTTCTTCACACCGCGGACCTTCCGTGACCTGTTCTTGCGCTCCTTGATCTGCTTTCTTGACTTTTCGATCTTGGTCTCCAAGCCGTTCTGCAGACAAAGCCCACAGCATGTCAGAAACTGACGAGGTGAACATAGCCTGAAAGACAACTGCATGCCAAATGCTCCCCCCACCCAAAAGATACCTCTGAGTAGGTCGAAAGTACTGCATCCTATGTATGCAGGACAACTGTTCCTAGATCCCTCCCCATCCATTGGCCACCACAGTGAAACAACCAGACGATGGTGGCTCCTTCGGTCCGCCTATAATGTTCAGAATTCCTTTCCAAGTGTGGCAGCATCCAATTCCCTCGGCCGTTTTTCATCGCGATGGAACTCTACACACCGCCGCCTGTCTGTCCAAAGAATGGCTACAAACTCCTCATCATGACCCTTCCCCGTCGCCACCGCTTTCAACCGCTCTCAACCTCCTAGCATGGCCTTCGGAGATTCCCAAGAGCGACAATCAACTAGTCATCCAGCTGTTCCTCCCCTTTGCCTGTGCCCTTGCCCTTCCTTCTAGTCAGTCGACCACCGGAAGAGCCACCTGCCCCACTCTCGATGCCCGTTACTACTGATCACTATGAGCGCCCCGAGGAAACCAGAACATAGATGATCGTGGAGAACCGACTGACGGCCCCTGCTCTGCTTACCCGGACCAGCCTGTATCTGGGCTCAAACTTCTTGGCAGCGTCCAGGTTGTCATAGATGAGCCCAAAGCCGACCGACTTGCCGCCTCCGAACTGGGTGCGGAACCCGAACACAAAGATGGTCGCGGGGTCCCTGACTTCGTACAGCTTGGCCAGCTTCTCCTTCAGCTCAGCCTGGTGACATAAGCTATGGGGATCAATCGCCAGCCAAGCATCGCTACAAGCTACCATTTCTTCATCAAGCTTCACACCGAACTACTCTGCTGCAAGCTGACAAAACTGCAGCGGCGCGATAGCGGCAGCATATGCAGGACAGACTGTCAGGTAAGACAGCTCGTCAAAGTTTTGTGAGGAATATGCAACGTATGTGGAGGCATGTGCGCTCTATTCTCGGCGAAAGGCACCGTTATCAATCTGCAATAAACAGTGGACACTGGCCCCGGTGAAAAACAAGGACAACAAAATGCAACCGAGCGGGCATAAAGTGCTCAAATGACTTCGCTTATTGGCCGGCCAATCTCTTCGCACAAACTATCCACACTACTGGCAGGGCCGGAGGCCGCCGTTCTGCTGCAAATGATTGAGAAACCTCACCTTTGACACATTTGCCCTGCCAGGATGGAGCACATCAATAACCTGTTCAAGGCAGAAGAAGCAACCATGAGAGTAGCACACCACGCAGAGTACCATTATCATGCAGGCCCGCAAGGCCTTGCTGGAGTCTTACCATCCATGCCTGATAAATGGTTGCACCTGGGCAATAAATCTTTCAGTGGAGGGTCTAGAGAGATCTCAACAGCATCCGTCCCATCCCGCTTCTGCTGCTGCCAACCAAGTTCAACGGCGGTGCTAATGCATAGTCACTGAAGATGATGCCCGCCATAATTGCCGATGAAGCTAAGATCGGGAAGACTCACGAACTGCTTCCTCTGCAGCAGCCTGTTGGTGAGGAACTTCCTCGTCCGGATGGTGCTCGCCTTGGCGTCCGACATGGCTGCTGCTCAGAGCGTGGCCGCCGCAGCCCGCCGCCTTGCTGTCAGGGGATGCAGCTGGAAAGAGGAAGAAGGCGGTAACGGTTGGCGGACAAGAAGGGCACTGAACAGTGCAATGAAGGCTGAGCTTCGACGCTGAGAACGATAGTTTTGCAAACCGGAGTCCTAAACCCTGTCTTACAAACCAATGATACGTGCGCACTGCGGAACACGGAATGGTGCAGTCTATACCGTAGTCCGGCAAACCAGGCCAAACCCTGCTTTCAACCTCTGTCATCGAGAGCTGAGCGCTGTCGAAGGGGGGTGCTAGCTTGCAAGATGAGTGCGCTTCAGCCCACACTGACAGGTCTGTGATCAAGTTGCAGAACCCTAAATTTGAAGAGGGAGCCTGCACATGCAGGGTAGCAGCTGCTGCTGGCACCAGCTAGACTCTAGAGACGTGTGCAGCCAATGCAGAAGGCGCCGCCAGGTATTTATAAATAAACTCACCTGGGGGCGAAGAATTCTTTGGGGGCCGTGAGCGAATCGCGAGGAGCTAGATAAGCCTTCAAGTGGTTTGTTGCCTGCGGGAGCCCTGAGTGGTGTGAACTGGGCATGAATGCAGTCATCGAGCTGAACACAGCGCTGCTTTCAAAAGCGTCAATTGGGCAGACGATGCAAGCTTTGGAAGTTTTAGCATCGTAGCCGCTTGTGTAGGTGCTCCATACTTGATTTCCACAATCTGATCAAGCAAAGCAGCAAACGATAGTTCTATGCTGAGTGCCAGGACGTTTAACCCTTCAAAAAGGACAAGCTGGCGACCATGTCATTGCAAGGTACGTCTTGGGCTGTTTTGTCGGTCCTGACTACTTTGTTAGTCAACCTCCTTTTGCCCATGATCTGCAGATGATCTGTTCTTGTGCAGTACTATCCTTGCTCATTAAGCATATCTTTCAATGTCGCTCGTCACATGGAGTATGCCGTCAATATGGCGCATTCTGTGAGGAAACTGCTTTCAATCAAACTGACATATGTTCGTATCATGCATCTCATCGGTTGCCACCGTCTTCCTTCATCCAGTGTAAGTTGTCCGCACTCTTTTTGCAACTTTGGCCACTGATGTGCCTGGATGCTTGTACTTTGATAGACTTCACATCAAACTGCACAGTATTGTCTCTGGATAGAGTTTACCTCCTGAGTACCTTGGTTCAGACCAGAGCCTTTCCTTTCATGAGAGGGCCTCTTTCTCAGCTCCTAAGGTGATTTGCATCTGATGATCAATGATCAAGTTGTCACACATGCTGTCAAGAAAGCAATTGTCAATTGCCTGTGCCTCTCCTGCTTCTGGTCAGCAGCATGTCCAGGCTTTACTTTGAGAAATGATCGAGTACTAAATCTGAGTGCTGTTTCTCATCATCCTGCAGCATCGCCGGGCTGGCTTTTCTGTTCTCCCTCGGCATACTTCTCCAAATCCTGGGATGTGCCTTGTACAACAATTGGTGGCCTATGCTGACAGGCAAGTGTCTTGACGGTGCACTGTGCACTGCACCTGAGAGTTCTCTGTCAGCAATTCTTACTCTTGGAGTTTTCGGAAGTGTCTTGGTTCCTATTTGCTCACATTTTGAGTCTAGATTCTTCTTTAGTGTTTGGAGAGCCAGACAAGGCCGGCATGCTTGTGGTGCCAGAGAGCTGGACTCTGCATGGAATGTTGTTTCCTGAAGAATGAACGAACAGTTTTGCTGTGCTTTGCAGCGTTGATGTACGTCATGGTCCCAATGCCCTGCCTGTTCTTTGGGGGCGGGAGCGCTTCTGACTTCATATCCGCGGACAATGAGACGGGGTGAGCTAACCTGACCCAATCTGCATCCCAGCTGGAAGTTTCTGTAGCAGCATCATCAAAGTTGATTCACGGCAAGGAGAATCCACCGCAACAATCAGCTTGCTTCGGTTCATTTAGGCCTCAGCGAAGAGCTGTTGATTGATCTGCCCAAAAGGTATCTGATATAGAACGCATCGGCAGGTTTTATCCGTCGTCTTGGGTGAGTCGTCCAAAAGAAACGTGCACATTCATATGGTTTCTACACATCATAGGTCCTTGAAAGCAAGCGTGAGATAATGCCGGTCAGTTGCATCCTACATTCTTTCGTCAAAGGTTTCTTTGGAGCTTGAGATGAGGACTAACCGGCCTCTTCTCTCTTGCAGGTGGGAAGATGCAGCCAAGTTCTTGACTGGATTCTCTGCAGTTGGAAGCATTGCCATTCCAGCAATTCTGAGGCATGCTGATCTGATAGCGACAGGGGCAATGTTTATTGAGTTCTTGTCGTTTGGTGTTCTGCTGGTTACGGTGTTGCTGTATCAGCGGATCAGCCGGGAAGACGAATGGTAGTAATAGCGGACCATACTGCGGGTCTTTAATTGACAATCAGTAACTGTACATACATACATAAGGACATTGGATCAAGCTAGCAAGGCAAAAATACAAGGTTCGTATATTGCAATGGTGCCAGCGAATGATGGAGTGAGTTCCGACTCTTGACTCTCAGGTTTCTCGAAATCTACACATAGCTCCTTGTGAACAACGCCGACGGTCGTCAGCCTGGTGCGCGCAATTGGAGTGCATGGAGTCGATCGTACATCCGACTCGCAAGAAACTCGTATAGCTCTAATTAAAGCTCTAGGCATGGCGGCACTAGCCGGCCTGATCTCTTAACTCTAGGCGGCGGAGCTATCATTTCATAATGGCTATCGCGGATTACCGTTCCATGGGCAAGGGCAACCGTCGCGTGACCAGCAAAACATGCACCACATGTCTAGACTCAGACGGGGTCACCGTGCCATGCACTTATCATAGTAGGTTATTCTTACACAGTCCGATCATCTGTTGAATGCACCGCAAGCTAGGGCAGTCGATTTGCCCGACATCAAGCTCCGTTTCATTAGAGTTATTCGGAATCAAGTATATGAAGATACCAAGAATAGAAACTTGTACAACGGCTAGCAGTTGCATTAACATGGTAGGACACAAACAGACTGCAAGGCTCAGCGAACAAAGTCCCCTACGTTCCAAGGAATTCTGTTGCTTTACACTGGCATCCATTCACGTCTTTCAAACTGCTCTGCTCTTTTCTTGACTACTTTTGTTGTCCTGTACCCTCACGGGCCGGCTGGCCCGATCCGGGTGCCGTTGGTTGCGGGGGACCCGCGGGACTTGGCACCTGCATGTTCATACCCACGAGAGGGCCCCTCGATTGGTCGCCCACCGTCGGCCCCATGGCCCCTCCCGTCCCCACCGCGGGGGTGGCAAGGCCCGGTCGAAGGTGGCCGGTTAACCCGCCACCTGGTCGAGGGCCGCTCGCCGGCCCCTGGGAAACATGACCCACCAACGGTTTCACCGCTAAGGGCTCAGGTCGAGCAGGGCCCGACGACAAGGGCCCTGCTGTGGCCGGCTTCGGCACCTTGAAACTGGGCGGCGCGACGGGGGTTGCCTGCGGCGGGGCCTTTGAGACCAGGCTCGTAGTCGGAGCGGGGAGGAGTTGAGGGGCTTGAGAGGCTGGGGGCGGGGTTGGGTTTGGCTGCGGGTGGGAGGGGGGTACGACCAGAGGAGGAGCGGGGGCTGAGGAGGAAGGGGGTGGGGGTGCGGAAGCGTCGGTCATGACCGTGTCCGTGGTATGGGCTGGCGAGGCGCTGGACGGCTTCTCGTCTACCTCCATGTTGTCGCCCTGGAAAGAAGCGGACACAGCGTCAGCTTGTGGAAGTGAAGGGCAATGCAGGCGAGGATGCCTCTATAACGCCGTTGACCTTGCCGCAGAAAAGGTTACTAGTCGTTCTCACATCCGAAAAGAAGAACCGGTCCTCGAAGCTCCAGGCTTCCAAGTCCTGCCAACTCTTCGGACAAGTGGTTCTCGTGCTTTCCAAAACCAAAAGAAACACGTTGTGCACTCCTAGATCGACAAAACCACCTGTCAAGCGTTCCTTCCCCGCATATGCAACTGACCTCTGCTTCGCTGAGGTGCGCCGCCTTGACGCTCCGCCCGAGAGCGTCCACCACAGGGCCCGTAGGGGCCGGCACCTGGATCGGTTCCGTAGTCTCTTTCTTCTTTTCCGTGGGAGGCTCGGGCTTCGCGGCAACAGGCCGCGGCTCTGGCGCCAAGGTTGGCGGCTTCCTGCAATGATTAGAGCGCAAAAAAGTGAGATTGATGGATGGGTCAGTCTTGCAAGACGACCGTGAGCTCGTTTGAGGACGGTCAAGCGCTCAGACCTTTGCGCAGAGGCCCAGGCAGCTGCATCAGACGACCAACAAGCGGGGCTAGAGCAAGAACTCAGCCAGCAATAATCAGTCAATCTGCCGGAGTCCTAGGAACAAGCGTCTCAGCTGGATGCCCCCTTTTTTCTGCAACTCTTTCACAGCACGGTCTCCTCTATCAATCACTTCTTCGGCGTTCATCAGCAAAGTACCCCAACGGTATCGCCCACGCCTCCACCAATCCAAGATCCGTCATAGGGCAACTGGCTGCCCATATATGTCTGGCTGCAGATACTGGCACCTTTCTATACCACCACAACAATACCACCACAACAACAGACCGGATGGGAGTTCCACATCGACGATGCACCAAACACCCGCGACTGCAAAGGCAAGGTTTGTGACTGTTCGAGATCCTCACCACTCAGTTGGAACCATGGGCTCCTCCTTGGCCTTGCCCGCCTGCGCTGCTTTCCTCTTAGCCTCATCCTCCGCCTCCGTGGTTCCAGAGCCTTGCCAGAGATGGTCGGGAGCGTTGGGACGGGGACGTGCGCGCACCTCGGGGTCCAGGTCGTGGGGATCCTGTGAAGAGAGTATTCACACTGGTCATGCAGCCCATTGTCTTGGCTGAAGAATGGCGTCATTGGCTCGCTCACATCTGAAAGGGAAAAAGGCTGGCAGGACAGGCATGCTTGAAGATAGACGTGGATCTGACACGAGTACTGGGACGGCCCCGAAACTTCCTCCGGTTCCTGCCGGTTGTAACTTCCTGCAGCGACCTTCACCCCCCCCGAATAAGCTTGCTATCAAGGGACAACATATTATGGGAAATACAAATTCCACATCGCAATGTCCAGGAAAGGTAAAGCTGAAGTTTGCAGATTGCTGATCCGCTTCCTGCAAAAGAAGCCGATTGCCTAAAGTGCGTGCTGCCATGTTGATACGGTTCAATCAGCACGCTAGGGTGATCAAACGCCCCCAAGTCCTGTATGCTCTACATAGACGCTTTGGAGGTGATAAACGTCAAACCGAAATCACTGCAGCGGAACCCGGTATCAAAGTGCTTAGGTCCGCACTAATCAATGTAGGCTAGAGAGAAAAACCTCTATCACGGACGCTGAAGTGAAGAATCCAGAAATCAAACTGAAAAAGAGCTGCTAACATTCAATTGAGTTTGACATGCACATAAAAAGGTTTGATAAGGTGCGTGGGAACCCAACCAGAAGCCCATAGAGGTGAGGCCCTGCCCACTCGGAGAAACACTGGCAAACGATGTAGCTCCCGCCTTGGACAGAGTGGAAAGGGGCGGCAGTGCTGAAGACACATGAAACCGACCACTCATGCAGACGACACCAGAAAACCCGACAGAATGCAGCGAGCCTGCCAAGGACAGCCAGGAAATCAAAGCAGCGCCATTCTCCAACTTCAATTTCATTCGAAATGTTCCTGCCCCTGCCCCTACCCCTGCCCCTGACGTATCTCAGCCAGTATAGGAAGCCGGCGATGATTTCCAACGACTTCTCCCTCACCTCCTCATAAATTTCGGTGTCGGGTGGGCGGTCGTAGAAGGGCACGCTGGGCGCCTGCTGCAGCTTGGAGAGGTTGTCCAGCAGGCGTGTTTTGATGGTCTCCAGCTCCTGTCGCGTGTTGAGGTTCTCCATGTTGCTGGGCAGGATGTGCAGCGTGTAGTCAGGGCCGAAGTACTCGAAGTAGTCGTTGTACGGCATCTTGTCCTCCAAGTCCACGCCCAGCGCGACGCCCGTCTGCGGGAGAAGATATAAGGTGAGGCCTACCAGAAATAAGGGGCGGGGGGCGGGAAGCGGTAGGGAGAAGAGCTGTTTTAGAACTGAACTTCAGCATCTTGATCTCGGCCACAGTGAGTCGCATACTGCAGGAGCACGGAAAGACGGTCATCGATCAATTAAGGAAACGGGAAGGAATCTTGGATACCACCGAAAAGGTGGGGAGGGGGAGGAAAGAAGGAAGAGGAGAAAAAAGGTACATATTCATCCAGGTCGCGCTGCCCATCCGCACAGAAGGTGGGGGGCAATGTAAGAGTCTGGACAATCAATATGACTCGGACAGGTTCCGAAGGATACTGCAGGTAACGGATCAGGCAAGTTAGCCTCCTAGTTCAGATTGAAGGCCATCTACAGGCAAGTGAAGAAAGTGAAAATAGCTTGAAAGGGGCAACACGAGCAAGGCTTCATATACTCACATCTTTGCCCATAATGAAACACAAGATGCAGCATGTTTGATTTAATGTGCTCTACAGGCTCGTCATATCCTTATTCAGCAGTACCAAGGGAACGAGAAATGTCACAGTGATAATTAGTCTGAGAACTTCTGTCACTCACCTCATAGCACCAACACCGCGCCACATTCCGGATTGTGTAGCCTCCCCCACCCAGCAGCAGTAGCGGCACGTTGAAGGACCGCACAAACTTGACGCACTCTCCGTGTCCCTTGACAGACAGGTTAAAGCAGCCTAACCGATCACCCGTCAGCGAATCCGCTCCGCACTGCAGCACGACAGCCCCCGGCTGGAAGACCTCCATCACCTGTTGAAAGAATGCAGATAGGATTTCATTTTTTGCAAGATGAAGCGCTCGTTTCTTTGAGTCCTGCATGTCCTGAAGCTAGCTAACTGCTAGCTACACTGGCAACCTTATTTTTATTTCTTTGGATAGAGTGAAGTACCGAGCCATTGATAGCAGAAAGCCTTGAGGATAGAATGCTAGCAGAGCTTGAAGCTCCATGTACGCAGCTAACAGTTGAGCAGACCATGTTCATATGAACACTTGGAAAGACAAAGTGCTGGCTCAAACAAGTGGCTTGGTTATCGCACAAGAAAGCAAGGCCAGATTGCCACACAACGATTTCCTTCCCGCGTATCTAAAGTGTAGGTTGATAACTCCAGGTGCAGGATTACCAGGGTTGAGCTCCCCACCTTTCCAATGATGGGCTTGAACAAAGACTCGTAGCTGGCATCATCAATTCCATCCTTCAGCGGCACGTTCAGGGCGTAGTATTTGCCCTTCCCATAGCCAACATCGCGCACGTCTCCTGTGCCTGGGAAGTAGTCCCCAAACTTGTGGAAGGAGACTGACATCACTCTGTCGGTGGTGTAGAACGCCTCCTCCACCCCGTCGCCATGATGGATGTCAATATCGATGTAGAGCACGCGCTGCAGATTCAACAACAAGTATGAGTTTCAAGTTCTCAACTTTCTTCTAATGAACCGGAGCATATGAGCTTTGGATCTTCCTCTATCAAGCTTCTCTTTACCTCATTGGTAGGGAAGGTACTACAAAAAGCTCCAGCTAACACTGATGCAACACACCAGCTGAACCAGATTCTTTGCCACCACCTGCCCTAAAATGCACGTGCCTCTTACTCACATTATGGTACTTCAGCAGCTCCAGGATGGCCAGCACGATGTCGTTGATGTAGCAGAAACCGGACGCCTCGCACTTCTTGGCATGATGCAGCCCGCCTGACCAGTTGATTGCGATGTCCGAGTGCTGGTGGTTCAGCTTGACAGCACCACCAACAGAGCCCCCTGTGTACGTCTGGCAGAAGTTGAAGAGGCCGTCAAAGACGGGGCAATCTTCCCCAACATTGAAGCGCTTGAGCATCTTCAGGTTCTCATGCTGGTTCTCTGGGGTGACCATCTTTAGGAAGTCGACATAGTCATCGGCATGGAACCTGCAGTCACGAGAGGAGTGTGAGTGGCGGTCTTGTGCTCAGTCGGCCTGGCCATTGCAGTCCGTGTTGAAGCTTCTGTTATAAATCCGTCTGTTGCATCATAAGTTGATAATTTGGCACACAAGGTAGACTGCCTGTATGCACCCTTGCTTTGTTGTTGAAGACCACATTTTGACATGAGGATCAGCCAAGGCCTGAGTGCAGTTAGCTCATGGCACTCTTTGGCAAAACCCGGGAGAAAAACGAGCTTTGCATACCTGACCAGCTCAACAAATGGATTGCATGGTGTCTGATCTCAACCTGCTCAGAACCCGAATAAGCCAATCGTCCTCACTGATTGCTAGGGAGCACCTTGCTACCAACCAGAGTGCGGAGAATGCAAGCTCATGATTACCTGCACATGTCCTTGTCCCTGGAGGGGAACGGTCTGAAGATCTCCATCTTGTTGTAGAGACCATAGTGCAGGAGCAGGTTGTGCGTCATCCGTATTCTATGCGGCTTCATGGGGTGGCCCATCCCATAATAGTAGTTCCCTATTTCAGGATCATAGAAGTAACTCTGCAAGAATCAAACAGAATCATTCAGTTCATGGTGGTAGGAAGAGCTGACATGTTCAAAGGCCATCGTTGGAGGCAATGAGCTCAAGCACATGCTGTCTTGAATTTGATCCTTCACAGTCAGCAATCTGTCCTTCTTCATACCGCATGGACTTACCACTCGCTTCTTCCCTTCCGTCGCCGCCATCGGAATGGAACGACTGTGCTCCTTGCTAATCAACCTCAATCAATGTACTGCAAAGCGAACAGCATACACTTCAGCTCTTGTCCGAACAATTGGCAGCTCTCATTTGCTTCAGCGGCATGGTGACAACCTTCAGCTCTCAAACAATATCATAGAAAGCATTGAACATTGACAGGTTCAATATTAGCTCACTTACATAGAAGCAAGACGCCAATGGGAGCCCGCAAATTGTAAGAAACTGCTCAAAGAGGCACCCACTACCAACTCCCGCCACCTTCAGAGAACCAAGACAACATCCCAGCTAGTAATTACCTAGAACCTCGTTGCTCATCTATTAACGAAGCTTCCCAAGCTCACCTTTAGCTTTTTGTGCGCCTCTTGTGCATCCGTTTGGGCGCCTTCTCTGATCGTCTTCCTTCTCCATCTGCCTGCACTGGCAGCCTGCACCTGCTTCGGCTTAGCTGCACTAAGGTACATTCAAGCTTTAACTCCGGCAAACCCTAGCGACAACTTAGAGCATGGATACTCGCGCTTTTTTAGTCGGTTCTTTACACCGGCGTTAGACCAGGGCGAACTTGCAGTTAACGTCCGGCCGGTGACCCCGACGTGTCCCGCACCGGTCCAAGGTAGACAAGATTCTCCTGTCTCGGTTTGACGAACCAAAGCTGGGTTAGTGCATAGAGGCGTTGGTGGTGGAACCTGAGGTTTCAAGTTCAAGGAAGTTGCAGGAGAGAGGAGCTTGCACTTTCAAGTTTCATTCCCAGAGACGCTTCCCTTCAAAGTGGTGTTCCCAATTCCATCTTCTGCTTTGCTTCTGGCGTCAGTTGGCCATCTCTGTGGAGAACTCCTATCTGAGAGCTGATAAAGCAAGTCCACCCAGCTCCTGCATACGGCAGCCAATTGGGTGCATTGTCTGGCCCTCTTGGTTTGGCGTTGTGCTGAGTTGTGTTCTCTGATTTTGAAGGCACTTATACGGTTGAACGTGAGATGTGGGATTTTGGGGAAGATCTCGACTTTGATGACGAGGATGACGTTGGGGCGCTTCTGGCCAAAGCCAGGATAAAAGTCACAGGCCTTCCGTTGGGGCATGCTCAGAGACCAATGCAGAATACCAGCAGTGGAGGCCCAGCAAACAAAACTCCAACAGCTTCAGAAGCAAGTAATCCAGGAAATAATGTTATGGACCGAGCTCCAACTATTAGCTCAAGCATAATTCCAATCAAGCAACGGTCTGGAAGTCCCCAGTCTTCAGGCGATCGGAGCGCTTCTTGTCCGCCTCCGCGGACACGGTTGAACAGCCGCGGCCAACCCCTGGCAAATGTCACCAATGCCATTCTCACAGCTAAGTCAGTAGGCCGCCAAGTTCCAGCTGATGTGAACCAAACGCTACAATCAAAGCACGCAGGTCAAGTGCCCCTGCGAACAACTGAGGTTTCTTCGACCCGCCTCTCGGAGCCCTTCAAAGTTCCTTTCTTGAAAGGCGCCGGCTGGCAGGGGAAGGCAGGTGGACAGGAGGCCACAGCATTCCATAAAGCTCAGGGCAGGGCTCCGGATGTTGGCAGGCAGTTCTCAAACGCATTTGCGAGCACGTCAGGTCCTGTGGACTCAGCCTCCGGGAGACGCTTCGATGCCGCCGAGAAGGGGAAGAGAATTGTGAGTCAGGTTGGGGATGGATCCATGTCTGCGCCTGCAAAAGGTCCGCCACCATCAGAGGGTGTCCTTTGCCATCGCCCGCCTGTCATTCCGGGCCCTGCTGGCGCCGTACAGAGGGCGTTGGCTCAAGGCCGCAGCTCAGCTGAGGCTCAGGGGCTAAAGGCAAGCACTTCAAAGCAGGCACCCCTCTCCCTAGACGCTCTCCCTGATGAGGACTTCTCAAAGGGACCGTGGCTTGCAGCGCTTGACTTCATCCAGAGGGAGGGGGCCAGAACAGGTGAATGCTGCGCTTTTGAGTGCTGTCGTTTATGACAACCTTGTAAGTGCTCGACGGCTGTGCAGGGGCAAAGTGTTGAAGATCTGTGGTGCTTGAGATCTGCTCATTGTCTTCATGTTGTTTCCTGTGGATAGTTGAATGCATAGTGGTACGCTCTTCTAATGGAAAATCGAACATTTGCAGGGGCTCTGCAGGTTACGCGATTGAGGGAGCTGCGGAAGGGGGCAACAAGCAAGAGGATAGGACATGTAAGAAGAAGCCCCCTTAAGGAACCGGTCTAATGTTTATGCTATCAGACATTGTGATACTCTCCACTGAAAGGAAAGTGGTCCGCAAGCAAGCATAGCAGTGAAGAGAAAAGGGGATGCCTGGCCTATGCCTCTCGCAAAGTTTTGCTTGTAAGCAGGGCGTTGCTGCTGACACCAGACCACTTACAACTTACTCAATTCTGCCTACCTCAGAAACTTTGAAAGAAAGAAAACAAAGAAACACAAACCGAAACGTGTTTGTACCTGCAGCTGGTGGTTATGGTCAAGTCCATGTCGCCAACAGGAGAGGGCGACATGTTTGCCATTGTCAAGGTACACGTTCTTTCTCTGAAGGGTCGCAGATCCTTCTAGCCGGATCAGATCTTGTTCATGTCTGGATTGACGGTTTGCATGTTCTGTATCAGCATTGATTTTGATGCTGTTACTTGCGAATGGGAAAGTGCTTTCTTCTCAAAGATTGTGCCTGCTGCACAAGGGCGGCCATCTTACAACTCATAGACGCCGTCGTTTGCGTTTCAGGATCCTAGCGGGACCTTGGAGGGCACGTTGCACAGGAAGCTGCTGGCAGATGCACAGCTGGGGCCCATCACTACAGGAACAGTGCTCGTCCTTCAGCAGGTGGGGAAATCCGTCACCCGCTTCTCATAAGGTATCGGCAATCACACGGATAAATCATATGTTTGCATCCGAACTGTCTGTTTCATCCTTAGCAGTCCCCACATTGCCAAGACATATTTCTGGACCATTTCAGGACTTCGATGATTGTTCGTCGATATGTCAAAGATCAAGGCTTTTTGCAACGTCAAAATTATAGGAAGCGAATCTAAGCTACTTGTCGTTTGCTGAAATTTTCCGGCGATACCCAGATTGACATCAACGAACAGCTGTGGACATGATTAGTGCTTCGAGCAGATTCCAAACCACGGCATTCCCCTGATTCCTTCTCTAATCGCTTAGATGACCTATCGAGCATGCTTTAGCCTGCCAGAGAAGTCGAACCAAACCGTTTCTGTCCACCTTGCTTATAGATTTCTCAGTCACCTGCAGGTGGCGCTCTTCCGACCAGTTCCAAGGACGTGCTACTTGAACATTGTCTCCAGCAACGTCCTCAAGGTAAGTACCACATACTGAGATTTCACAAGCCTTCGAAGTCCCATCTTCCGCTCTGATGTGAGTTTTCTCTTGTACGGAATCTCGAACCTAGCAGCTGATTCGGACAACGCTCTCGAGCATTTTTTCTGGTAGTCAATCATAGACTAGTTTGCTAACTGGGATCTTGCTCTGAGCCGTCGATTAGTGGGAGCAGGCCCAGATTCTGACACAATATTCCCTCCGTCAATCACCGTTTCTGCCATCACGTTTCGCAACGATTCCAAGTCATCGCCAAGTTTCTTGCGAGCTCCTTGTGCCAAGCCAAGCCTCGTTCACCTTACTTGGTGTTGCCGAATACTTTGTAGTCAGGCCGTCTGTAGAGGTTTGCTTGACCAATGTCAGTAAGGTCCTCATATAGATTGTAGCCATGTGAATTGGAGTTTAGGCCATGGAGCCAGAGTCGTAACTACGCAGAAGACAAGGTTCCCATTACATCATCTGGAGCGCCGAGTTTGAAAAGGGGAGATGCTTCCAAACAAAACTTTATGAGTCAAATTTTTCGTGATGGTTTGATCGAAGTGCTCCCGTTGGTGCTTTGTAGGTCGACCGGGTCAAACGAAACGCGAACTTTCCGTAACGGCCATCTTGACCAACCCTGTCCTTAGATTTTCAAGGACGGTTGAGCAGATTGCCCCTCCCTTTGCAGATCTTCCCAACGAAAACCCCACGGCCAGTATCGGGTGGCAGCCTGCGGGCTTCGCCCGACCCGGCGTTGGCCGAGCCGTCCTGGGGCAACTTCGACCTTCCCACGAACAGCAACAGCTTGAAGAGTTTACCCCGGAGTCGTGAGACCGCATCAGCAGCCGGCGAGGATTTGCCCAGGAACGCAACAAACGTCTACAACTGTGAGACACCGCAGCGCGACAGTTCGTTGAGAACATCGGCCGACTTCGCGAGGATGAAGATCGGTGACGTGGCGGGGCTTTCTACCCGGCTAGAAGATTTGTTACCAGAGCTCCCAAGTCAGCGGACTGGCAGCGCCTCCGGTGCAATTGGCTCTGACGGTAATCCCGACACGCCTGGTCCGCCGTCAGCCACCCCTTCCGAGCTGGACAACCTTCCGTGGGGCGGTGGCGACCAGACAGCTCGCTCAAGCCGCCCCTCGGTCGCCCTCCCAGGTGCAACGCCCCGGCAGAATGCGAACCGCGGAACCCACCCAGCTGCTGCCAATGGCGGAGTGCCTGCGGGGGTCGCGATGACCAGATTGAATCTGTCAGGGAACGTGGCTTTGAGCGTGGAGCTTCCGAGCGGCGAAACCGTGCGAACGGGGCCTTCGCAGGGTAGCGGCCCAGGGCAAGGAGTGGAGAATTCGAAACGAGGGCGGGAAGCGCTGAGCGTTGACATCCAGCAGCTGTTGGCGGGGCTCGATGAGGAGGACTGGTTCATGCCGGGGTGAGTTTCAAAGACGGTGGCTACGAATCCTGCTTTTGTGAAACTTTCCTTGGGTGGTCAACCGAGCTAGTGGCAGGTCTCGAAGGTCTGACTAGGGATTGCTAAACGTGTCAAAGTATGTCCGTAAACGATCTGGTCTATTGGCAGCTCCTGACATGCTTTGGATGGCGAGCAAGAAAAGCTGGTGCGAAGATCTGGTCCAAGTTTCTGTGTGGTTTGGCATCTTGATTGTGTCCTTTTGCCTGCTAAGTTCTCTACGCGAGTTCAGGCACGTAGCAGCTACAATCAGTCCAGCAACATCCGATGTTTGTATCCTTCCATCGAACTGCTTTAGGCATTGGGTAAAAGTGATCAGCCCCTTCTCCTGCTGCATCTTGTAGGGAGGACGCTCTACCTCCGAACAAGAAGTCGCGTGAGCTTGAGGAAAGCTTGCCCTTCTAGAAGGATAGTCCGCTGCTTGCGGTTTGTCAAAGAATGATCATACAGAGCTTTGATACTGAAGAATGCCCTTACATGATAGGACGGCAGCATCCCAAAGTTCTGCTAAACGCCGAGGTTGCCTTTTGAAGCAGACCACTGAAAATCTGGTGTACACCGTCGCTGTGCTTGCATGCTTGCAATGTCAGTGCACTAGGCTTTCTTAGGACGACTGACAAGATTCTAGGGCAAAGTCGAGGCAGCTTTTTCTTGGAAGAGTTCACTGCCAGTCTGGCAAGTAAGATCGTCAGAAGAAGAGATTCACGTCGTAGTTTGTCCCCCCTGCAAAGGTGCGCGAAGGTTGCGGACTTACTCGTGCCCGCTGCCATGCTTCATGTGTTTGGACCGTAGCTGGCACATGATTTTATATGCGCTCTATCATCCTATCATCTCGCTTGTAATCCGTCATATGTGCCGTGCAGCTGCTTCAACCATGTGTCATACGATCAGTTATCAAGCCTTTTATCTTGATCTGCATGGCTTAGTAGCTGGACGGTCGGCCCTACGTCGCCCACTGAGGTGCACTCTAGATTGAACGGCAAGAGCTAATCCGGTCGTGCGGGCGCCCAGCGCATCGTGCTGAATTTGATCATGATGACGGCTTGATCGGATGCAGCACACTGCAGCCGACGGTCTTGCTTACATTCGGACTAAGTTATGACCTTGAAGCATAGGGTATTGCATTATACCTAGCAATACCTTGCATCATCATTGTTGCAATGTTGGGACGGCCCTATAAATTAGGTCAAAGACGATCTGCCAATGATACATATACCGTACTTAATTAGGGTTTGAGTGTTAGGGTTTGGAACGAAAACATTGCATGATCGAAGACTGCACATGCGTCAAAGAAGTTCACATCTTCCCGGAGGCCTTTCTTCACAGCAGAGCGCAGCTAGAAGAGCGGGAGAGCGAGCTGGAAAGATTAGCCAATTGAGCATCCCCCACGTCTTGCCAAAGTGACAGGCTTACAAGGTGTTGGCGCAAAAGGTCAGCAATGGCTGCTGCGGCAGCACGCACAGGCCGATCTCCAGACATGTTGGCCGGAAGCCATGAGGCCCCAGAATTTGACCACCTGTTCAAACTGCTGCTGATTGGGGACAGCGGGGTTGGGAAGAGCTCGCTGCTTCTGCGATTCACAGCGGATACTTTTGATGACCTCTCGCCCACCATTGGTGAGTTCCAAAACGGGTCAATGATATTCACTTTCTGATAAAAGATTAGACTAAGCACTTTTCGAGTGGACAGTGGTAGCTGGTAGACAATGGTATCTTTCTGAAAGGGCATCAGCTTCATTGCATGACGGCATTATGTGAGGGGGAGCCAGGGTACAATCTGCATGCATGTAGCTCCGCGTCTTGAAAACAAATTCTTTGCCATCATGCTTGACATAACACTCCTGTGTGCACCCAAAGTCTGGTAAGATTTATTTTGAGCTGTATTTCTAAGTCCCGTCCTGCAATCCTATCTCATCACGGCATTTGATGGGAGGACTGTACCCCTCATGACAATCAACTTGTCTGTGGAGTTCATATCTGCTGTTTTTACATTGACATCGCAGGCGTCGACTTCAAGCTGAAAATGCTCACTCTTGGGGGCAAGCGGATAAAGCTCACAATTTGGGACACAGGTTGGATATCCTTCCCTGCTCGTAGGGCTTTGGTCCGCTTCAGCTTTTGTTTGAGGTTTCATCCGCGCAGTTGTGACGTTAGGTCTGCACAAGCTTGGAAGGACAGAATCAACTGGTCGCACTCCGGATTCAAAACGGGAAATCACTTATCAGAATTCCCCTCTGTACTCAGCCTTAGGCAACAGTTGCCCCTAGAATTTTGGGCTGGATTGGTGAGCGTTCGTTGCAGTAAGACGGTTGAGAACATCATATGTTGGAAGTTGGAAGTGATGGCCAACTTTGGGGTACATAGCAGCTATGGTTCTGTTTAAGGATGTTCTTCCTGCACAGCAGTAACCAGGAAAGAATATCCCCCTGAGCTCAACGCTGTTGGGGGTGCATCGCAGGGGGGAACTTTCTAAGAAGTTGACGTTGCTGATCACACATTGAAGGTCAGCTGATTGTAGACGGGAAGACGTTCCCATCTACGACAAAGGATAGCTTCCACGTCAGTAGTGTACTGTCAGGAAGGCACAAGAATCCACAAACCTGCTTATCTGCAACCCCCCGGCAATAAGACTGAATCAGCAATAGAACTGTATCAGTGGATCCTGGTGAACTTTGGGTGAAATCGCAAAGCACACAGTATCACGTGTGGTTCTCTTATGTGTCTGCCGAGTCATCTATTCTGCCAGATGATCTTAGAAATCTTAACAGTGCACCCTGGAATGGCAGTTCATAGAAGGCGGTTGTTTAAGGTGTCTATAAGAAATTCTGAGAGCGCTTCATTGTTTGCAAGTGTATCTTGGCAAATTCTAGAAGTTCGAGGTTTTGCATGGCTGGCAACAGAGGTCCTGTAGATTCTGCAGACCCCCCAGACACTTAAGAAGGGGCTGAGAATCAAGAAGATTTCTGTCACTTGCAGCCGGACAAGAGCGGTTTCGTACGCTGACCAGTTCCTACTACCGGGGGGCTCAAGGAATCATCCTCGGTGAGGGAGAGGTACCCTTAAGTCACTCCGTTTCAAGTCTGCTGTAATGTTCCAATCTTCTTCTACTACAGTGTCGCAAGATTGCTCAGGTTTTTCATGCTATGGTCTTGCCTCTGAACATCCAAATAACTGTCGAAGTGCGATAATCTGTCCCTCGGATCGACTTCCTGGGCGTTTGCGTCTGTGTTTGAGAATCAAACTCCCTAGTTTACCAGCACCGTCCAAATATCAGCTCAGCTATTCTCCAAAATGCGGTATTCAAAGAAGGTGCAAGTCGAAACGTTGAGCACGCATAACCAGCCAGTCTTCAAAAAAGAAGATGTTTCAGCACGAAATGTAGCCTCAGGTGTGGGCCCTTGTAGATCATGCGACTTACATCCGGATTCACATTGAAACTGAAAACGTCCCCGCTCTCATGCAGCGTACGACGTCACCCGGCGGGAGACGTTTACGGACCTTTCGGACATCTGGCTCAAGGAGGTCGAATTGTACAGCACGAATCCGGACTGCATAAAGATGCTCGTGGGGAACAAAGTCGACCGGGTGAGTCCCGCAGATTATAGTCCCTTTCGAAGTGTATATCAATACTTGTAGCTTCTTGTCCGGGAGTACGAACAATCCAATTGTCCGAACAACATTTTTTTTTGTCGTGGACGATTTTGTATCTGCTGCGGAATGATGTTATTCTGCTGCAAACGATAAGTTGACCGTTTTCGTAGTCTGTTGACGCATCTGATTCCGTCAGACCTACACCATGACCTTGATCTCCGTGCTCTTATTGTTTTGTGAAGACTGCTTTGAAGACTCTCCATTTCTGCCTTTTTGGGGGGAAGCACGACTGTGCAATAGGCGTAAAAGAGCTCCAACTTGAAAACAGTGTTATGGATGTGTCCAGCTTACAGCTTCGAGGGCTTATCAAATGCCAGTTCAGCACGTTCTGACAGCCCTTCAGCTTTGTGGTCCCGTAAAAGGCGCCACGGCAGGGCCGTTCGTGATATTTCCAGAGCAGGGGCCATCAATGATTGGCCCTGCTTCAAGGAAGGCTTCAAACGGGATCTCAGCAGTTTGGCCCCCAAGATGAAACGAAGTAATCAGCGCCGGGCCTGAAGCAGTATTGTTTGTTTTGCTGCAGGAAAGCGAGCGGCAGGTGACGAAGGAGGAGGGGAAGGCGTTTGCGCGGCAGCACGGGTGTCTGTTTCTCGAGGCGAGCGCCAAGACGCGGCGAGGGGTGCAGGACTGCTTCCAAGAGCTTGTGCAAAAGGTAAGCGAGCCTCGTTATTTCAGGGGACCTAAGACACCTCGAAAGCTCAAGAGGGCAACCAAAAAAGTCCTTCTGATTTAAAGAATCCTTTCCGTGGGTTTGCCAGCCCTTGGGCGGAGTGGTTGAGACAGCAATTGTGGGCACGTTTGATCCAGAGCCCTTTCGCGATCTTTCTATTGTGGCCCTCGTGGCCAGTCCGTCGTCGGTCCATCGGGGCTCGGTGTGCATGCACCTTTGGCACGTCGACCTGTCCCTCAGATCGTCAACCCCGTCTTCTGAATTTCCGAGTTTGCATGAGATAAGTGTGCCTCTCGTCGACACGGATTCAAAAGAGGACAGTCACCAAGCGCAAAGGCTCGATTGTCGACGTTCAGTGGCGTGAGCGCAGCAGCAGATTGCACGTTTCTGTGTCCTGCTTCGATGAAGCCGTTGCGTATTGGGAGTTGACAACAGAATTTTCAGGACGAAAAGGCGTCATGTTCTGCAGAAAATCAGAGGAATCGTAAACACAATTAAGGACGTCGTTTGGCCAGTGTTGTGTAGGGTATATTCTTCTGTTGTCTTCGATTGAATCTCTCGAAAACGTGTCCGCAATCTGCAGGAAATGCTCCGTTGTCCGCTTTCGAAGGCCTCTTAGCAGTAGACCTATGCGACCCTGATCTCGTTTCATGCTTTCTGCTTCCTTCACATTTGGCTGCTGGGAAGAGCTTCTCAGTAACCTTTATAGCTTCTTGACAGATTGGTATCATTGAGCATTCAAGACCTGTTTTAAACGAGTCAGAAAGAAGTCGGTTGAGGTTATGAAAGACTGACCTTACTTTGTCCTGCCAGATCCTTGATACCCCCGGTTTGGTTGATGTGGGTCGACCATCTGGCGACCACTTACGGTTAAACGCGGATCAGCAAGCATCAAGCAGTGGTTGCGCATGCTAGCTGCATTATCTATCTTTGAGATTGAACTTGGTAGACGACATCAGGTAATGCCCTTTATTTGCGACCTCGCCCTCAAGGATTGTAGATAACAGAACAGTTCACGTGTGATGTCTAATGGAGAAAGTCAGGGCTTTCTAGCTCGCTCGTGTACATACATAGACAAACACTCCTTGGACTCTCAACAACGCCCCAGCAGAAAAGCGTCGTTCAGATGAATTCATTGTAGCATTGGCCGGTCAGTGTCTCGTTTACTTTTAAGTAGGATGCGTTGAAAATGATGATAGTATTGTCACTATCGGAGCCTGTTGAAGTAGCTCTAGTGGCAACGTGCGGGCCAGTGTTAATGCATCTTGGCTGCCTACCAGTAAGTTACTGGTGGACTGGGAAGCAATATGCTTCGGGTCCGTCGGTTGCATGCTCGTAGGACCACTCGAGAAACTTGGCCCGGAGTCTGGCAGTGAGCTTCACATGCCCTGAGCAGTGCAACGACATGGAGTGCAATTACTTTGCAAAGCCGTCCCGCGGGCCAGGACATGGAGGCCAGAGGATGGATCGACGGTGCACACTGGCATGCATGCCATCTCATGCATAATCATGAAAGCTAGCTATATACTTTTTTTGAACAATGCAGGGGCCGGGCTTGAAGGCCGGCTACAATAAGTTATATACTGTTATATATTCGTTGAATAACTTGATCATATACTATAGTATGTATCATGTGCCGTCATGAAATGAATATGTGAGTGAAATGATTAAGATGGTACGAGCAGTGGGTACATGCATGCCTCCAATGCCTTTGAAAACGTCTACAAAATGTCACTGTAGAATTTCATCCTCATTACATGTCATTATATCGAGATCATTGAATAAGTCATGACAGAAGCATGATCGAGTTGATGCCAGAATTTTCGGGCAGCTTGAACGTACTGCTATCAGATGTCTGCAAGTTAGTACACGATCATGTCCGCTGCAACCCGGGCAATCAGCGATCGAGCACGTCAAGTTTCTTATGAGTACCTAGCATCCTGGTCGAGCCTGAGGACCGGCCGAAGGAGGAAGACGGTTTGCATGTAGCTGAACCGCGGTGCAAACAAACGAGATGCATATTTTCGAGTACGTCCTTACTGTCCATGGGTCGGACATGTTTGAACAACGCCAGAATGATGGTCCCTTCAGACACACGCCATTGTCATGTAGCTGGCCATAGGCTTCTCTCCGAGAGGCTTATGGCACACAATTGTTGAACTCCTGCATAAAAGTATTATTCAGGTAATATTGTCCCCTTTGCCCTATCAACCTTACAACCTCAGCCGAGACCTTGTACACTGTGGAACTTTTGCGACCAATGAGAAGAACGATCCAGTGCGGGCCGTCTCCGAGGTCACCACATGAAGCACCTGGAGCGACGCCGTTTTGTCTGCTTCTGGGGAAGTTCGATCGGTGGGAAATTTAGGAGCTGGCCATGCCACTTTGTGCTCTCCATCTTGCAGCCTTCCCTGGACGCCTTCCATCCAGACTTCCTCAGAACGAAGCGCCTTCAGACCTGACGCCAATTCTTGTAGCTCACGCAAATTCAGTGGCGCGTCCTTGGGCAGGCCCGCTGTCGCCTCACTGAGCCCCACAATTAAGCGATTCAACATGGAGAAGCGGCTTAGAAAACCAGTAGGTGGCACTGGCAGGGAAGGTGCCTCCCAGTTACTCTGAGGCTCGCCTTTCTGGTGACCGGACCGCAACTGCAAGCCACGTGCTGGTTTCACCAGGACACGCATGTCCTCTAAGGCAAAGACACATCCCAAGAGCACCTTCACATACAAGTTCTTTTCGTACTTTGCAGCGACTTCTCGGTTTCCATTCTTCTCAATCACGGGCACGAATTGCGAAGCTTCTTCGAAGGCCTGAGCAAGCTGCGTGATCTGGCTGCCTGACACTTGGAACCAGCTTGTCGACGTGGTTGCCAAAGTACTCTTCAGATCCTTTAAGATTGGAAGCTGAACCTCGGGTTGTGCGGAGCCTGCGTTGGCAGCCATGTAAGAGCACGCGTCCTGAAGCATATACGTCACAAAGGATGAGGAAGCATACGCCATCCTTGCCTGCTGAACCACCGCTATCCACGTAAACAGAAACTTCTACAGCTGCCCGAAAATGGCATGCTCTCGCTGCTCCCATGGCAGTTGATGGAGAATGCTCCGCACCTCTTCATCTAGCTGCACATGACATCCCATTTTTCTGAACCAAACCCCTGGGAGCGCAGGGACTTGTATGCTTGACATAGATCAGGGAGCTTGCTTGCGCAGCATGGCGCCCCGCTAGCGAAGGCCTCACTAGCTGCCACAAACACTCCCCAAACACTTCCAGCATGCCATCTACTTCCAAAGGCTGGACACTGAGGCGCCCTTGCATCGATCTCTCTGCGTTCTCACTCATGGCGTCCCACTCTATCCACGAACCCTGATCGACAATGAGGCTGGCCGGGTCGAGCCTGGCCCTGGCCGACTGGCCTGTAGCTGCCGCGGCTGCGTGTGGCGGCGGCCGGGCTGGAGCGCGACCGCAGTCCCCGGGTTTGCAACGGGTTTCAGGCTGGTTTCAGGCGGACAAGCGTTCTTCGGACACTTAGAGTCGAACCGTCATGTCTGAGTACGGTCAATTTCGGGATCTCGGACGGTATGGTACATTTGGCGCTGCATAGAGCTGACGTCACTACACAACTTAGGGTTCTGCGTGAGCAGCGACCATGAGCTTGTGGTTGATGAACTTATACTATACTTTCTTCTCGGCCTAGAATGCTGGTGGCATCTTATTCCAGCATTTCATAAGATTGTGGCGTGTTTGGGGCAACAGACGGATCGTATGCTTGAGCTTTCTCCAGGCCGCTTCAGAATCAGGGACAAACGCGAATCGGCATTGGTCTGTCTGAACCCTTACGACATTTGTCATGGGAACTTGATGTGTATCCTCAAGAAAGCTTGTTTGAAACAGAGCGTCAGAGTTCCTTTTCGAGATCTGTATCTTCTAGTGACCATGGGAAAGCAAACCGCGAGCAGCACTCGGCCGCTCCAGATTGATTTTCGGTTGAATGAGACGACCCTGACTTGCACTTCTCAAAAGGTGGGACCAATTTGCACTTACAATCTCCAAATTGAGCGCAACTGATTGCCAGGTACCACTGCTGTTGAAGTTGACAGCTACCAAGGCCCTGCGTGATGCCAGTGTCTCACAGGTTCAACCTTAAAACTTGCTGCTACAAACACAATGCTGCCCAGATTTTCCTTGCTTCTTCCAGAAACCTTGCAAGAATGTGTGCTGATCTGGTGCTGAGGTTAGAATTCAACATGCAATCATTTATAGCCCACTGAAGCGGACGAAGGAAAGGCCGGCTTCATTTCTTTCCTAGCTTGATCTGTGCTACTTTTCTGCAAAAGCCAGCTCTTTGAATTTCAATTTGAAAGGAGCTTTCTCAAAGGGTAGTGTTGCGCCCAACACAAGCTGTTTGGTGGCTGCAGCAAGTACTGTTGGCATGGTCTGAAGAAGCTCGCTGTTGTGAGTCAGCAGCAGCTGTCAATCTGAGCTGGAAAAGAGGGAGCAAAGGTATGGTGACCATATGTCTGAAGGATCTGTGCAATAGGGAAGCGAAGACAGGAGAAATCTTTCTAGGCTAGCTTCGAGGGCGTCTTGGGACATCAGATTTTGCAGACGGAGTTTTCCATCCTGGTTCCTCGAAGTCCGCCACGTTCTGTGGATGTAATTTCCATGTGATTGTCTGGGTGCCTTTAGTCTTGATAGGCAATTCTGCGTTACTAGCCCGCCAGAAAAGCAGACGCCCTGCTCTTCCAAACGGCACGGCTGCAACCCTTCAGCTCGAGTTGAAACTTTTGTGCCTTGGCGCTCCACGTATAAGACCCTGACAGCGTTCTGCTACCTCAAGACTTTACCAACCTGCGACCACACTAAGGATGCTCCTTGCACCTAACCTGTCAGTAGATAAAGACCAACCGAATCTAACAAACGGCCTTACTGACGGGCGCTTCGTTTCTCAGGCAAAGCTCGCGCACGACCAAGTGGTGGAGGACAGCAAGAAGGACATCCTGGGCCTGAAGGACCCCCAATGGACGTCTTCCACTTACGTTGACAAGAGCAGGTTCCCCAAGCACGAGGCGGACTGCCGACTTTCGGCGACCTTTGGGCTTGCGGGGCACACGGTGAGCCGTTTCTCGCAAGAAACAAGCTGTGATGTCGAGACATCGGTTAGGAAATTGTGCTTGTGTCTAAGTGGACAGCACGACGGGAAGCCATGGCGCCATGAGGTCTTCCCAACTTAGAACCGAATTCACCGAGAAGGGTTCCATCGACGTGGCAAAGGAGAGAATGGTAGAGGAGAGGTTACTGAAAGGTCGTCCGCATGAGTCGTCGACTCCTGGGAAGCAGCTCGGCGATACTCCTGTAAGCGGTGACGAATTCAAGAAGCAGGCCTGGTTTGGGGCAGCCCTTCCAAAAGAAGCTCAGCGTACAAAGTGCTGATTACACGCTCTAGTTTATGCCAGTCACAGAGTTAAGGCTTGCATCAAGTAGCTACGTGACTTGCTGTACTCTAGGCATGAACCGCCTTGTTATCTAGAGAAGAGAAGTCCAGCAACAAAGCTCGTGTTGCTCCACGAATCACCCGACAGTCAGCTTTTGAATGTCGCGAACTACCTGGTCCTCCTGATCATCCCTCTTTCCTCAACAGCAGCTTCAAACTATGAGCCGAAGCGGTTGGTATTTACCGGTTGCTCGCTTTCCCCCCAGGTGCGTGATCCGGATATCCTGTGGTCGCGGCCCGCCCTTCCGGGGCCCTGGAATGCGAGCACCGAGATCAACAGGAAGACGCTGAAAAAAACACTAGAAAACAGGTAGGGACCGGGATGAGTCTTCTACTTTTTGGCGTCATTTTCGACCGCCTGATCTGCGGAGCGTCGCTCACGGAATCTTGGGTACTCGATCTTGAAAGTGCACCCGCTGGAGACGTTCTGTGATCGGCACAGATCGAAATTTGGTTTCGGCGGCCAAATCTTCGTGACCAGCTTTGGATCTGGGTTTGGGCAGAGGCGGAAGCGAATCAGTGCAAAACGAACGCCTGCCTCCCAGCGATACTCTTCTGCAAGACTCCTCAGCATAGCTTCTGCAAACCACACCGCTGTCGAAAGATTCGTCTGCTTGCGAAGCGAGGGATAATCTTTGAGCAAGTCGAGTCGACTTTGGAATTTCGCGTTTGAAACTGCGCATCTGATGGATATTGCCGATCATGTTCTAGATGTTGATCTCACGCCCCAGAACTCTCGATACTTTTCACTTGTATTAAAGGCAAAACCTTCATCTCCAAAACGCGTCTGCCGACTATCGGCTAAGTATGAACTCTAAAGTCGTAAGGGCCGAAAGGGTACAATGGTCTGCTGACCTAAAAATCTTGAAAGTTCTTTCGCTCCGTACATCCCTTGTGTGGATTCTAAAAGCTTTGTTCTTCGCAAGCAAACGGCTAAGCCTAAAGATGAAACAAGCTTCTACGAGGTTCGACAAAGTGTCCTGCTTATTCAAAATCTGCAAGTTGTCTCTCGTGCGTGCTTAAGGTGAGGCCTTCACAACAAGAAGCTGTCCGCATTTCGAAATCCCCGTTATTATTCCCGTCTCAAGCCGTCCCTTTTTGATAATATGCAAGGCCGTAGATGCAAGGCAGCATTCGCTGAAGTGAAGCGCGCATTCGAAAATCTCGGTCGATTCTTTCTAACCTGGATTGAGGCGACCTCGACGAAGCAGACTCATGCCCGTGCGTCGCAGACTTCCAGCATACAGGGCAAACACCGCAACACGCTCAGCGCAGCACCCATCTGACAACACACGACAGTGTCTGTTTCGCCAAGCGTAATCGAGGCGTCCGTCAACCAGAAAACTCACGCCCCTGAGTCCGCTTTTTTCCAGCATGCAAGGCGACCACCGCAACACGCTGAAGTGCAGCGCTCACCTGGCGGGCTACGTGGACCCCGCCACGTCGCAGTTGCCGGACGTCCGACGGACGCGCAGCCTGAGCCCCCCCAAGCGGACGTGCCGCTGTCCGGACGCGCATCCCAACGCGCACGCCGACGACTTTTCGCCAAGGCGGAGGCGGAAAAACAGGTCGGAGTTTGTCAATTTCTGGGTGCTGAAAAAGGAGCGCCCGTTGTCTGAGCGCTCAAAGATTCGGACGTCATACAGGTTGGATTCCAAGTGTCTCCCGAGTCAGGTCTCGACACACGGCGTGAAGATAGACAGCAAAAAATAACGGGTTGTCATTGCATATGCATCACGGAGTTCGATAGGTCAGTGTTCCGTTGTTAAGAGTTTTCGCGTCTCGTCTCTCCGACGTTTTTTGCTTTGAGTGTCGACTTCAGTAATGTGTGTGAGATGAGTGCATCATCAACCCATTGCGGCCGGGCGTGGGGTTTGAAGAGGAGGTCCATCTTCGCCTTTCTACTTCATGAGTGCCACGTTCGACGCCGGAGCCGTCTGACGCCGAAAGGGCCCCTCCAAGTCAGACATGTCTCACAACCGTTGAATTTTTCACCTTATTCTGCGCCAGCCCTTGCTTTCGTGCTCCTGACGTCACTTGTGGACACCACATACGCTGGCCTGCTGGCTTCTCGAACGACCTAATGTCTTCGTTGTGGCCTTTGGAAGGAAGTCGTCAAAAACCTCTGAAGATGCGGGTTTCGCGCTTATCAGAAAGTGACGGGGTTCTCAGATCGCTGATCGTGAAGTGCCACGAGAAGGAACGGCGAAATGGTACTAAAGCCTTTGGATCCTCGACGAATCGGCTGACGTCGAATCTGGCCTTGTGCAGGCCCGTTCGCCGTGAAGACGTGGAAGAGGTGAGAAGATTGGACACGTGGCAGCCGCCCATAGTAACAGGAACAACCAACAAGGATGTAAAAAGTGAGATTGCTGTGACGGGCTCATCATGACGGGAGGGGAGATCATGCTCGTTTTGTTGCTCCGCAGTAGCAGGCGGTGTTTGCAGATGACTCAGCGCACAGGGTTTGGTGGATGTCGATCTGGAAGACGGAAAAGATAGATGGATAGAGAAAGAAAACTTGTAAGTTCGAGGCCAGGGGCGCTAACAATAGTGCAGAGCAAGTTCATAGGAACTTGTTTATGGGACGACAGCGTATGTGGTGCACAATGCGCAAGCAATTGTCGGAAGTCACACAGTCCGTCTGCTGTATACTATATATAAGGAAACTCGTATGAGGTAGAAAGCTTGACGAAATAAACTTTCATGTCAATTGGTAGCGGTTGGTTGAACTTACATCCACTTATAAAGAGTGCTTCACAGCTAGAGCACGAGAGCATCCATATATATTTGACGGTATATTAGAGCAAGTTGCTGATGTAAATTCATACATCTAGTATATTCAGAGGAGAAAGAAACCTTATTCAATTGAAAGAGAATGATACAGTCCACTAGGCCCCGAACGGACTATAATAGTGTAATCTCGACTCAATCCAATTATATATTGCTGCGTCGCTTCATAACCCATCGCAGTGCAAAGAGGCATAACCTATCGGGGTGCAAAGAGGAGATTGAATTTTAAAAGCTCGCACACTGGAAGCTTAAGTCGCTCATGACACGTCGTCTGGTTGTAGTCCTACCTTCATTTGAAACGTCTCGTTTCATTCATAACTGATAACAGCGGCGGACCGAACGGCCTCGGGGTGGCAACTCCAATTTTAAAACAGATGGTGTTTTAAATTCGCTTTTCTTAAAAACCGACTGAAAACAAATGCGATCGGCGTTTTGTTTCATACCGTTGGATAGCCCGTTGTCTGTAGTTTCCAAAACACTACTCGTTTTAAATTTGGCCCCCCCCACGAAAAGTAAAATGCTTTTAAGTCATTTCAAAACGCCGATGTTTTACTACATGTATCTGCGGGTTAGGCGGACCCAAAAATAGCCCGTTTTATAAAACAAATAAAACAGTAAAACGTTTTAAAACGCTTGAAATCCATGTTAAAACAAGTCAGATCGATGTTTCCAGGCCCTTATACCCTATTTTGGCCTTGTAATATACTCAGGCCTACTTTCATGATACATACGAAGTTGCAAATAGTCGATAGCCGCTATAAAAACAAGGAAAATCATACAAAATCAACCTTTTCCACGGTTTTAAAACAGTTTTAAAACGTTTTAAAACGGCGTTTTAAGCTTCCAAAACAGCCAAACCTTGTACTACACTAGGAAGACCACCGGAACGCTGGGACCACTAGCAGTCTTCAATAAACACCACTCCTAGTTCCCACTCCCGTATGGCTCAGAGTTATACTAACCCACAGCTACCTGTCAGCGTAAACCAGCGTGGAGCTACAGACAACTTAACTGTCGATTAGCAGGTGCCC